TAAGGGCAACTTCGGCAGGCTTGCAGTTACACGTGATTCGCCGCGCGAGCGGAGACAACGGCTGTTCGACCGAAACCGAAACCATGCCACCAACTGGTTCCCAAAATAGTATGCAAAATGTAACTGTCCAGCATACGACAATAAAAAGACCAGCGGCGCGTGCTTGCCAGGCCGGCAGGCGAGGTACGGGCTAAACACACAGGAAAAAAGAACCTGAGAGTATCGATGCAAGACATTACGAATCAAGGTCAAAAAGTTCTTGGAGCGCTTTGTGCAACGACTGAACTCGAGACAAACAAGCGCGCTGTGCGGGTTCAGCGTGCAGACATTGCCTTCGTTGCTTTAGCTGGCTTCTCGTCATCAACTTTCTTTCGCGGCAGATTTTTCACGTACCGGGGTCCCTCTCGAAAGAAAGCCCACCGAGAGAAACCTAGGTAATCAAAACTTCGCCAAGCATTAATTGAGTTAAAGAGGGATTTTTATAGCAGCGTCTGATTTAAACAAGAGCAGGAATGTCGATGCGTTTCAGTTTAGAAAGCGCCATATCTGCAGCGACGTGGGGACGGCAACACACGACGTCGCGCGACCACGGTGACTGTGGTCGCGCGAGCGCTTCAGCTCACAAAGTAACTCTCGCCACGCAAAAAGGTTGTTTTGTTTCACAGCATGACGGCATGACTGGAACCCGGCACACTAACGTCGGAGCGTCCGCACACGCACACGTCTATCGCTAGAAAAAAAAGAAAAAAAAGAAAAAAGACGCGAGACGAGATTTCCGAGACGACGAGAGCGCGAAACGCAAGACGACGGGAAAAATCATGCAAGACCGAGTAGACGATTGATGCAGGGTACTTTGTGTCGGGCGGCGTCTTGTGCCACCTAGCTCATGCATGCTCAATTACGGTTCTTAAGTTTCGTTTTTGAAAGGCGACCAAAATTGCTCCTTTGGCGCAGGCTTGGCGCAGATTAGCCATATTTCGGTTAAATGTAGCAGGATGTAGCAGGGTTAGCCCCTTGGCGCAGTTTGGCGCAATTGGCGCAGCCATCACATCACTGATTATGGGACGTTTCCCATAATGACGTCACACGTGACGTCAGAAGTGGCGTCACAAAAGTCACGACCTTCACAGTGAAGGTGACGTGAAGGTTGTAATCTTCACGTGAAGCTGCCGAAAGAGGGGAGAAGGAGAGGAGGAGAAGAAGGGGAGGGGAAGGAGAGGAGGAGGATAAGGAGGAGGATAAGGTAACTTCGTACCCATCCCCTCCTCCTCAAAAGCTGCGCTCTATTCGGCATTACATTGAGCTGTAAAAGTCTTTAATTTTTTTAGTTTTTTAGAATCAAAAAAACCTGCTCCACGCGATTTAGTCACCGCTGATGAAGAAAACGCTCAGGTTGTGAAACGTTGGGCTGCATCTTCTTTGGGTCTTGGTTGCAGTCGTTTCTTCTGAAATTTAACTATTTCACAACCAGACAAATTTTTGTCAAAAATGTTCTCGTTTAAAACATTTTCTTAGTGCCGGGATAGGACATGTATGCCACAAAATTAGATATTCACCAATATTAGCGCAATATTGGCATCACGAGACTCCTTTTGAGCTGGGAGCGATTCCAAAACGTGCTCTATTTTGACAACAAGCTCTTTAAATAGAGGAATTTACTTTTTCCCATCGATTATGTTGGGTTTCTGTCGGGTTAAGATGTATTGTGACGTCCCTCTTCAAAAATAAGGAAGTCACAACTCCCCCGATAGGATTCGTCGTCGATTACAGCAAGCCCAGTCGTAGACGGGTATGCATAAGGATTTTATACAAAACAAGAGGAATAAATCGCATACAATCATGAACAACGAGGCACTCGCATACAGCCAAGGAAAGGTAAACAAGTGCAAGGGGGATGCTAACAGCTGAACAAAGTAACGAAAGTTCGAAACGTCGAGGATGCTCACTCAGAGTCCCAGTCCTTGAGTCACCGCCCTGGTCGAGTCCCACAGTCCCTTCAGGCCAGCACGCCAACCTTCTCGTTGCTGCATCTTCCGGTCGACGCCGAAAGTCCCGTCCGAACTCCGGAGATGTCGCCTCCCCTCTCCCTCGTCCCAAGAGTCATGGACGCACATCGCTGGCTGACCCTAGGGCGCTGATCACGGCGGAGTCGTCACAGCATTGGAGGCTGTGTTTCTGGGTCTCATCAGATCGAGGGGATTGGTTTTAGGTGAGGCAGTGATGGTCGGCGGCCAGTCGAGGGGGAATGGTGGAACAATGGACTGTACCTTCCGGATATGGGAGTAGTTCCTAATGAGCGGGTTTCAGGCGGTCATAGACACAGTTTCTTGGCGCCCATTGTGATGAGTAGCTAATGTCTTGGCTCCCCTTGAGAGCACCTAGTGCAGCCCACAGTGTAGTTGCTGGAGCGATCTCTTGGAGTTGTCCTTGCGTAGAATTACATGACTGCAGATGCTAAGTTCGTTCAAGACATATAGACCGCAGTTCGAGTTTGCCTGCGAGGCAGTGTGGGTCTGAGGTTTCGCATTGTCGATCGCAGCTGATTGGTATATGTCGTAGGATCGGGAGCTGGCTCTTCCAAACCAGGCGTGAAAACTCCCTGTAGGCGTAGGGTAGAGCCATACACCAGCTCGGCTGGACTGTACCCAAGGTCTTGCCTCAAAGCTGTTCGAAGTCTGAGGAGAACGATCGGCAAGCTCATGTTCCACGTAATTTGTTTGAGTAGATTGTGCCATAAGTGCCGATTCGAGCGAACGATGAACGCGTTCAACGAGGCCATTTGAGATAGATAGGGTGGTATGCGGTCGTTCGTATACGTGGGGTCCCTAAGAGTGACATGAGCTGTTGGAAGAGCGCGGAGTCAAACTGACATCTTTGTTCCGTAGTGAGAGTATATGGGACGCCAAATTGAGAGACCCAGCCTTGAACGAATGTGCGAGCCACGGTGTCTGCTCGAATATCTTGAATAGAAAATGCCTCCGGCCAATGGGTGAATCGATCGACGCACGTTAGGAGGTAGCATACCCCTCATATGGTGACAGGAGTCCCTGAATATCGATGTGGACGTGGTCGAAGCGCTTTGTCGCGGTCGGGAATGAATGGAAGGGCGCAGAAATGTGACGCTGCACCTTTGATTTTTTGGCGTTGGATGCAAGTTCGAGAGCAGTTTCGAACATCTTTGTTGATTCCCAGCCAGGGAAAGCGCTCGGTCATTAAATATTGTGTAGCACGGATGCCGGGGTGGGACAGACCGTGGATAGAGTCAAACACTTTCCTGCGAAAGTTAGCCGGCATAAGGGGTCTCGGTGTGCCTGCTGAAACGTCACAGAATATGGGAGTGGTGGATGAGGGTAAAGTAATCTCTTAAAAGACAAGTCGACGTGGAAATTGGCATAGCTGTTGCAGGTGTTCGTCTTGTTGTTGCGCAGCGCTGATGGTATCATAGTCGACAGCAGGGAAAAAGCTAAGTCCGTAGGAAATTGGAGTTTTTCCGGACAAAGTATCAGCCACAGGATTATCGATGCGTCTAACGTGGCGGAAGTCGGTCGTGAATTCGGCGATATAAGCCAAGTGCCGTGTCTCAGGAGGTGAGTATGATTCCATACCAGTTTGGAGAGCATGCATGAGGGGGTTCTGATCTGTAAGCACGAAGAACTCTGTTCCTTGAATAAAATTTCGAAAATGTCTAATCGCTGTGTATATTGCTCGCAGCTAACGTCAGAAGGTGCTGTAACCCTGTTCCTCTTGTCAGTTGCCTCAATAAGAAAGGAACTGGCTTCCAGAAGGTGTCATCTATTATATGTCGTGTGGCAACGTCAGAGGCATCAACCGTGATGTTAGTTGGAGTGTCGCGATGAGGATGTGACAGAAGTTTCGCATTTGCTAGCTCCAGCTTCTCTCGGCTGAAAGCCTGCTCTGCGATCGGAATCCACTGTACAGCGGCGGAAGGTTTCTTGCTCCTCTTTAGAAGCGCTGTCAAAGGTGATAGAACTGCAGCGCCCCAAAAAACAAATCGGCGATAAAACTTTACAAGCCCGACCTCCGCCGTAACTTCTGTGATCTTTGCTGTGGCAAATTGGGCCTCCACTTGGGCAAAGCACAGCAGCGGGTCAGGTGGCCAGAACTGTGGAAGCCGAAGGCTACCAGCACCGACATCTCCGTTGTCTGGTCCGGTGGCCATGTTCGGTATGAGCATAATAGAAACACTGAACAATGCGTGCGTAGTCGGGTCACCGAACATGTAGAAACCAAGATTAGGCCCTACATATTTATTTACACTATTTGCATTGGTTAAATCTACCGAGTAAACGAATTTTCCACGAACCTCGTCGCCGAACGCTTATTCTCCGCCCAAATTTAGCACTAGTGATCTCAACCAGATGCAATTTTCAAAACTAACCATGGTATTATTTAAAAAAAAAAAAATTCTGAAGTTTTTAATGGAGAAATGGGGGCCGACTGGGAGATCTCGAATGCATCGAGCTAAATGGCCTCAATTACCGAATAAGGGCGAAAACGGGGCTCACTTTCCCATTAAAAGTTTCAGAAAATCAATTGTAACGTTTAAACGAGATAACCCATAGTACTGAGATTTTGGCATCTGGTTCGTACCGCTCGTGCTACATTTGGGCGGAAAATGAGCGTTCGGAAACGCGTAGTTTATTTTTCCGGTGAAGAATACACTCTAAATCATTTTGGGACACCCTCTAAAATCATGTTTCGGAATCGATAACTCATAATCTGTCTCACGACGTGAACATTTCGTTAAAAATATTTCATTTTTGCAATGAAAGTTAATCTTATGAATTACGTGTCCTATGCAAACAATCCAAAATATGCTTTTGAAAGTTCAGTGCCCCTCTAAGCATGGTCATGGTACGCCCTATGCGCGTGAAATGTGAAAGTAAAAAAAGAAAAAAACAAATAAGAGAAAAAAGAAACGACTTAGGGAGAGCCAGAAAGACGAATGTATACAGGTGATTAACGGAGCACTTATTTACCCTCTAGGATTGGTTACGGGTATCGGGTTCTTCCATCGCAATATCTCGAACACACTGGCCATAGTGAAGTGCATCTTCTTGCTATCCTCCCAGGTCGGCTGCCGCTCGCAACCGATGTGGTCGTCGATTTCTCGCTGGATCCTGGACTGCACCGCGTCTTGCTTCTGGGCGCAGACTGCCAGAAGCCAGTGGATGAAAGACGCTGGCGTGTGCGTACCCCCGATGTAGAAGTCGAAGGCGTTGCCAAGTAAGTGTCCCTCTGCACGCGTGCACGCTCGTTGTTTATCCCTTTGTTTTGTTTTTTGGCGCTCAGCAAGGAGCAGACACTGACTATACTCTATTTCACCTTATGATGTATCGCAGGAAAGGCTACAAGACCGAGCTCCTTGCTCTAGGGCACATCTCGGCGGCACACACTCTCGTGCATTTTGGGCAGCTGCCAACGCTATGAGCTCGCGCTTCTAGCCTTCGCTGCGGTACAACATAAGGTAAAACGGAGTATAGTACAGAACCACAAAGACTAATCAATAAGTATACACTGCGCGACGCTGTTAGCACAAACCAGCTATCGCTGTTTTTTTCTGTATTGGAATCTAAATGCTGTCATGAAAACTACAAGTCTTTTGGAAAAGGCTCCTTTCGGACACTATCACAAACAAATATTTCGTGACCGTAAATACGTAAAATGCGTAAAAACGTCGATATCGCACCCGTGTTAAGAGTGTAGCGCATACATAGCGCGACACTTTTAGGGCGAGTGTGACGTCTGCGCTTTTTCAGATTTTTCCTCGAAAGGGTTTGACAGGCACATATATTTCTTCTTTTGGGTTTTACTGCGAAGCTGTTTATGGCTAAGGTTCTGTGACTTTTTCGTATGCGTGACGTGACGTCCTTTACGTAATCATGCTGTTAATAGTCACCTGTAATATTAATGTTTCGCCAGTACAATCCGTATTCGTGTTCAATTGCTCGGCTCCGGAATTACAGGTTTGATAAGCATCTTTTTCCGCAATTCTAATGCATGTGCTAAAGTCGGTAGTTACTGTAATTCTGATGCAGAAATTACTGCCGCATCTAGACAGAAAGTTGTGGCTACGTATTGTATAATTTTTAGAAGATAGGCTCAAAACAAGATATTCGCTGGTTACTTATTTGAATTTGTGGCTGAGTGATTGTCAAAATAACATAAAAGTCAAGCTTAGTGCTAAATATTAAAACGCATATTTCAAATAAAGCCTTCAACAGCCTTTTAAAAAAAAAAATAATAATAACCGGATAATATGGTTCATGAGTTCTCCTTAATCGCTTGAGTAGAATGACCCAGTTATTTAAAGTTTGTTGAGTAACGACGGTTGGAGAAGCCGTAAAATGTGTAAAATATGACATTCTTGATATTTTACATGCAACCTAGCTCATCTAAATATTTAAACACATATAATCCGTGCTGCAGAGTTCCTCCTCTGGAGTTATAATGAATGTGGAATCAATTCCCATTCCATTCCGCGTCCACGGAATGGAATGGGAAGAGACTTAGTTGCACATTGTTCGGAATGGAATGGGAATGGGATGGGGCTCGGTTTTTATGCGAGCCGTGTCGATCTTCAGCTAGGTCCAAATAACGTCAAAATAAGCAACGAATCCCAGCGAGCACATGTAATTTTCAGCCCAGCAGACGTAGTGTTCGTTAGAAAAGCAGATAAAAAATTGAATCTATTATGTTAAGAAATCACAATATTTTATATATGTTTTAAGGCGAGTTGAATAGAATGTCCTTCAGTCCCTTGTGCTGGCACTGTAGAGATTTCACTTTGTCAGGTGTTTTGTGCTCTTGCCGCTGTGCATGGAGATTTGGGGCAGACATCCATGAATTCTGACAGCACGCTAGCGGTGGCGTTGCGCAAATATTCGAAGCAGACAGCAAGATAGCCTCTTCTTGCGCCACGCACAAACCAGACTTTTCTAAGGCCTCTTAAAATAGACAGGCTGACCGTACATCTCCTAGAGGTAAAGGACATGCGGTTGGTTTGGGAATGAAATGGTTGGTTTTAATTTTAAGCCGTCTGCTACGATACGTTCACACTTGATCGCGCGCTTGATATCAGCTGTGCCACCAAACACGTGCACCAAACCAAACACTTTCTGAGGCTACTATTCGGCTTAGTAGCAGTTTTGGGGCGCGCTTTCAATCTTTTTGTACTCGTTTATGTGTTTGGTAACATTAGCATTACACTGCTTTATCTGGCAACACAATGCAGCTTTCAAGAGCTATTTTGTATGTTTAGGGATTAACAGAATAAAATAGAACGGTTCGGCTATTCAAGGGGTGGGAATAGGATCAGTAACTCCAATCTAGTGTGTCGAAAGAAATTCAATGATCGAAGCTTCCAATACACCGGAATGGAGTTGGAATGGAATGGGGATGCCCATTCCGAAACAGATCACTGGACAGAAAATAAAGAGCCCTTGTGCAATATATATCATTCCAACCGTTGTCTCAGCCCCTGATGCGAGTTAGTGAGCTAGTAAATAACTATCATTCGTACTTTATTTACAGGGTGTTCGTTCAACACCATTAGATGTGCGCACAAATTATTGTCAACCTACCTTGGAAGGGAGAGTTCGGCTCATTTTGTTGTTCCTTTATTTTCTTCAGATACCCATCGATGAAGTCACGGTTGATGTCCTTTTGCAACGTGAGATTATGCTCCTGGACACGGTCTCTGTTAACACAACAGTAAATTAAGTTCCTCGCGTAACACTTTTTAGAGGCACGGTTGGTTGCGTAATGCCCCGCAGAAGTTTCTTTAGACTGTAAGACCAAGTTTACTGGCGTTGGACAAAAAAAATGTTAATGTAGTGTCAAGAAAATGTATGTATGTGCGAAAAACAGAACAGTAACGAAGTACAGTGAGACCGCCCGACCCATTGGTTCGTAAGAAAATGTTAGCAAATGAAGGGAATCTGAAAGCAAGTGTAAGTGCAATAAAGATAATTAGTTTTATTCAAATTTGATGTAATTCTTTATTTATTTACACTGTAGTCGTTTGTGCTCGTACAGAACTGTAAAAGAACACATGAACACACGCAAAAATATCCTTTTTAACGCGTCGTATAAGAGAAGGAAAGAGACAAACTGAAGTAAAGACACCACATGCATAGAAAAAAATAACTGCAGAAAGGAACGCCTGAATATTAAGAAAAACGAATATACTTTCCGTCGCACTGCATAATCAGCCAAAAAATGAACAACTGCCGTAACGCGAGATCAAGTTTACGAGATGTTACTAAAATAACGCATGTATTATACGGATTACATGCAAACCCTGAGATGCAAATATAAAGTTTGTTGTTTTAGAAGACGGTTGCCAACACACGTAACCTAAATAAAACATAATCACAGGTTAGCCTCGTACGAGCACTTTTCAAACACTTCCATATTATCACTATTTACTACGTAAGAATAACTTCTTCGTGCTGATTGACATGCGGCAAGAAATTGCTTGAAGTTTTAGAGCGCGGCCGAAGCCAGACTTGGCTGGCTCTAGGCCTAACAGACTCGAACTTCTTGATCCGTTCGAAAAGACTTGTCCAGGTTTAGGCGGCGGTAACGAACTTTGTCCGTCACTGACAACGCAGTAACCGCCTTCGCACTAATCACTTTTCTGTTCTAGCCTTTGCAAGCTTTGAAAATCGCGGACAAGCAGCAGCTCGACAAATTCGATCGTGCTGCCTCCGTGCTCTCCACAACCGTGCCCTAAAACATTTTTTTATTCTATTTTTTTTTTGTTAAGAGCGATTGTAGAAAACGAAGTTTCAGTTCCAGTAGCTTTTTATCGCTGCACCGTTGGTTAGTTTGCGTGCTGTAAAAGTTGAGGACGAAGAGTCAATGGATCGACGTGATGGAGGTCAATGATAAAAGCGTTGCCAGTGTTGTACACGTTCCTCAAAAAAAGGAACGAAAGCTCGTTCCTCGTTCCTTCTGATTTTTGGAACGCGTTCCCGTTACAATTTCCATCTATGAGAAAGGAACTCGTTCCCGTTAGAGTTTAAAAAATGAAACGTTTCGTTACATTTATATTTTTCTAATGACCATATTAGGTTAGATCAAGCAAAGCTTTCTTTTTTTTATCTATCCCATCAAATGGGAACATACGAATTTTTATGTCATGATGGAAGGGCACCAAGAGAAGAAAACAAGCGGAATCAAGGTTTTATTTGTTGATATATTCAAGTTTAAAACTCTCAGCTTTTAACCAGGTTCATGTTTGTGGTGAACGATTCAGACAAGCCAACTCTACAGTTACCCCACATTGCACGAGCGTTTTACAACAACCTCAGAGGTTTCAATCTAACAAAGTCCCTTGTTCGAACTTAACAGCAGTTGCTCCTCCATGTTGCTGTCCTCAAGACGAGCAAGTGAAGGAGACGGTATGCTTTTGGAAGGTCAGTCTTGAAAACTACAAGTAGTTCTTTGTGAAAGTTGGATTCGTTGTTCAGTTTGAAGGTGGGGGACAAAGGGAAAAGGAATAAAAGTTAATTTCTGTGTATCGTTTTGAGTGACCAATGTTCGGGATACAAAATGTATAGTACATAAAATTGAAAGAATAAAACAAAGAGGACAAGCACAGGACAACCTGTGCTTGTCCTCTGTGTTTTATTTTTTTTTCAATTTTATGTATTCATTCTCAACCCGCTCGCCTTCACCAGTCCACATGTATAGTGTGATTTTTTTGTAACTGTTGGTCTCTTTATGAAAGTTCAGAAATGGCTGTAGTCAGCCTTAGATTTCCGGGTGTATAAGGATTCGTGGAAGCAAATAACGTAGCTGAGTTTGAAACGTCCCTCTTTGTGTCTTTTCGTGCGACTAAACGTTTTGCTTTTTGTAGCAAAGTCTCGGCCACTCAAAAAAAAAAAAAAAAAGCGTTGATGCTTACTAAGTTTCCAGCAACCGACTGTTACTAAGCGAGGACCACACAATATAAATCCTAAGATAAGTGACCAAAACGTGAAGGAGTAAAAAACAATATTTTCTTAATAATAGAGCTTTTATACTTTTAAAATTTCTCTCGTAAAAATAGAATGAAAATTACCCCACTAATCAAAAAAAGGAACGCCGTTACTCTTTCCGTTCCAGTAAAAATATAACGCGTTCCCGTTCCAGTTCCACCGATGTAAAATGGAACGGCGGCGTTCCCTCGTTCCTCCTAAAAGAAACGCCGTTCCGTACAACACGAGCGTTGCGAGTACAAGCCATTGTACGAGTGCATGCCATCAGTCCGATGGTACAGAGCAATACTGGGCACTAAACAGGCTATCGAGTTTGGGAAAAAAAAGTTTAGAACGCTCGCAGATATTAGGATTGCTAGCATACGACACGCCCGATCGCATTGCTGAAGGCTCAGACACCGAGGCCGTCGAATCATCGGATACTCTTTAGGCTGAAGAGGCCTGCCGTCTAGAGAATACGAACTGGTAAGTGTACAAAGTACAAGTAAGCGTCGAGCATAAAGTCGGGCACTTCAAATTGGAGTTAGTATTTCTATTTTTTATAAAAAAAAACTACGCAACTCTAAAGTGAACCAATTTTTGGTGATGTCCTGAGACACCATTTTAACGCCTAACATGAAAAAAACGAAAGCCGTTTACAATTCCCTGTAACGCCGGTTAGAGCGCAGCTCTTGAGGAGGAAGATGTAAGCGTACTGAGGGATAGGTGACTCCTTGAGGTCACGTGACCTCGGGGGTCACGTGACCTGAAGGGTCACATGACCTTAGGGGGTCACGTGATCCCCAGAAGTCACGTGACTTCAGGGGGTCACGTGACCTTAGGGGGTCACGTGACCTCAAGGCGGTCACGTGACTTCTGGGGGTCACGTGACCTCAAGGGGTCAGGTGACCTCAGGGGGTCACGTGACCTAAGGAGATCACGTGACCTAAGGGGGTCACGTGACTTCAGGGGGTCACGTGACCTAGGGGGTCACGTGACCTAGGGGTTCCACGTGACCTGGGTGGGTCACGTGACCTCGGGGGGGGGGGGGGTCACGTGACCTCGGGGGGTCACGTGACCTCGCGGTTACGCCGACGCCGACGCCGCTCAAGCCGGAAACGGGCCCCTAAGAGCTGCGCTCTAAAAACAGTTTTTTTAGCATGTCAGGGACTTTTTAAGGGAGTAAGCTTCACGAATAACCTCAACAAAGAAAGGAGCCACCGCGTCCTTAAATCTCTTATAAAATTCTGCAGTGAAGCCATCTGGTCCAGGCGTTTTGTGGTACGATATACCATCTATGGCACATTCAATCTCTTCAAGTGTTACAAGTTTTTCCAACGACTGTTTAACCTCATCCGATAGTCGAGGCGTTCCTTCTAGCATCGCTTTAAGGTTCTCTTTGCTCACAACAATGTTTCCGCCGCCAAATAACTGGGTGTAGTAATCCATAAAGACCGTTTCAATGAAATCCGTATAACTACTCGTGATGCCGTCATGGAAAAAAGCGGGGATTTCTTAAGAAATTGCATATTCGCTTTCTTCGTTCAAGGCCCGCCGAGTAGGTTGCTCGCCTAACAAAAAATTTTGGGATCTTGCTCGCAAAATAGCTCCACGGTTAACGCTCCTGATGGTAACCTTCTAGTTTCACCCTTACTTTATTTCTTCCGTCATTGTGCCCGGGTTAGCATTTTTTATTCTGATTAGTTCATGCCAGTATTTCTGTAATTCTTTTACCTCTCTTCTCTCCTCATGCTTTAAGATGGACGACCTTTCGATTGCGGTTTGCTTTACCTTTTCTTTAAATCATGCCCAATTCTCTGGATAACAAAATTTCTCCGTCCTTCTTATTTTGTTAAAGTGTTTCTGCTAGGGCATGGACAAAGTCGTCGTCTTTCACGAGTTTGTTAGTTATTTTCCAGAACTGCACTTTGAACTTATTTCCTCTCGGTTTCTGTTTTCCTAGCGTCACATTCATAAGGTAGTGGTCGGTAAAGAAAAGCGCTTTAATGAGTAATCTGTTATACAGGGTGTCACAGAAAAAAAATTACACGTTTTTTTTTTTATCGCAAAATAAACAAGGCGTCGCCGAACGCTCATTCTCCGCCCAAAGGTAGCGCTAAAGGTTACCACCAGATGACAGAAATTCAGCCCGATTCGATACTTTATTTAAAAGATATAAGTGATTTTCTGAAGATTTCAATGGGAAAATGGCGGCCGACGGCGTTTTCAAATACATGGGGCTCTATAAGCACCAGAAACCGAAAACGGGCCAAAATGGGCTCCACTTTCCCATTGAAATTTTCAGAAAATCACTTATAACGTTTGAATAAGGTATCGGATCGTGCTGAAACTTTGGCATTTGATTGTAACCTCTAGCGCTACCTTTGGGCGGAGAATGAGCGTTTGGCGATGCCTAGTTTATTTTTGCGGTAAAATAAACCCTATAAATTTGTTTTTGTGACACTCTGTACTACTGATACCTTCGGCGAAAACGTAGATACGATCTGCTCGCGAGTGGGACGCGCGATGAAAGTGCATGATGAAGTGAAGCCTGTCTCGGGCTGACCCTCGCGTGCGCTATATCATCCAGAAAGTGATATTTTATCATACCAGTCAGCATTTCTGCACTACTCTCTCGGATTACCACGGGCGATGTTTTATCTGCCGGGCTACAGACGCAATTAAAATCTCCCATGAGTACCACAACCTTGTCAACTTGCAAATACGTTTCCAAAAATTTAAAGAAAGCTTTTCTCTCATTAGTTCTGTTGGGCGCATAAACGCAAATGATTCTCCAGTCATAGTTAAACAAAACAAAATCGCACGATATAAAACAGCCTGGCTCGCCAACAATTACATTGAAGTTTCGCAGAGGCACCGACTTTCCAAGGAACAAAAAACAACCAGCTGATACTCCAACCGCATGTCTTGCACACACTT